CCTTGGATTATCGACAACGTTTTTAACTTGCTCTTGTGTAAGCTATTTGTCAAGTCTAAGTTGTTCAGTTAACGTTAAAATAGACGTTATCGGGTTACATTGGTAAACAGTTGCCATTTTCCCTTCCGAATGTCCATAGAATGAGCGGGAGTCACAGTTTTTAGGTCTTAAAGCTCGCTGGTTATTTTAGCGGTACATCAAAGGATTTCTTAGCGATTCAGATTTGTTAGTTAGAAGCCATAATTTACTGCTTTGCTAGAAGCCATAATTTATTGAAATTCTAAAAGGAGTGAAAGTGTTCCTAAATTTTCAAATTATCAAAGAAAATGTCTTGGCCAGGTAGTAAAATGTTTGCCAGAATTAAAACATATTTTGAACTACACGAGAACTGGAAATTCTATTTAAAATTCTATTATTATATTCAGTCGTTGATATTTAAATATTTTCAACTGGTAAGCAGGAATATATGTCTTTTCGGATGCAAATGATTTACAACAGTGGATAAAATCATTTTCGCTTTATTTAAGTCTGTTTTTTTTTATTATTATTATTGACACAATTGTCTTTGAGAAAAGGAAAGCATAAGGTTCCCGGGAGTCATAATACACTTCAGGAACATAATACACTTAAAAATAAATCTTACATTAAAAAGTATAGTAGAAGTCTTAACTATGCTTCTAAAAAAATCTCAATATTTCAACTCAGGCAAGACTTACACAACCTTAGAAATGTCGCCGGAAATGTACAAACCAGTTATCTTTGTTTACACGAAATCGACGACGTATTAAAGTAGTAAGTTTGTAAGAGGTTTAGACATAAATATCTTTATGTTTTACTCAGCAAACAAAGAATGAATTAATGAATGCAGTACTTGTTTTCAAAAAGAAGTGAGCAAATTTCGTTTAAGAATTTTGAACTAGAAAAAAATTCATTTTCCCCAATGAGTTGTTAATTTCAGTCCAACTCAAAAGTCATCAACGTTACGAGACTAATCGAACCAATTGCCCATCGTCATCATGATCATCAGAAACAGGCAAATTTTGTTGATCGTATCTCACATCACCCATTGATGCAGACATCGTTCACCTAATACTCATCAAAAACTGATTTTTTTTTTTGCATTGCCTTTTGTGTTTATTTATTGTCCTTTTACCCAAAATCCGAGTAAAGTTCATTTTACAATAACGAAGAGGCATCTCAACAGTTTGAGTACCATCTTAAGTGACAATATTTACATCAGCTGCTGCCCAGAGGGCAATAAAAAATGAAAGAGAGAAAAAGCCCTGGCGTGGGGAATATTTCAGAAGTATTATACATACTACATATTATACATTAATATATTTTAATTGCTTTTTTTTTGTTTTATTTTTTTAGTAATATATTTAGCAATTTTTTCTCTTGCTTATTTTAAAACAAAGAGATGCTGGGCTACGATGATTGCACAATTCAAGAGCAAACTGGAAGAAAAAAGCACATACCGCTAACCAATATAATTTTTCACTGAATAAAATAGATGAAAAATAAAAATGTTATGTGGCACTTGATAAGGACACATTCTGGAGAGATTTGACTTCTGTAGAAACAATTTGGAAGTTAGGAATTCGTATTGTTATGACTGAAAGGCCAAAGAACTAACTGAAAAAAGGTAATCTTAGCTGTTGATTACTAACTTCTGACAGAAGCGAATTGCCTCTGGCTCGAAGAGATCAGTAAATTAAAGATATGCTTGCTAGAAGTTTTTCTTTGTTATTGTTTTATGCTGTATTATGATTGTTTATGGATTTAATTCGTTTGCCCTAGCTTTCAAAATAAAATGAAAAGGAAGCAAGGCGAATGTAGTCAGAGATTCAAATGAGAAATATTCAAGGGCTTGAATAAAAAAAGAAATATTGTCACGATTATGAACTTAATCAATTATATTAATGACTTACGCTGGCGCCAGACTAACATTACTGCATTAAAATAGAAAAATTAGCAAAGCAGATGAAAAGGAGAGAAAATGGGAAGCATTTGTATCAACCACATTTGCATTACCTGGAGAGGAAAATTCTTTGCTGGAATTTATTTTCGTGAAAAACGTCTATAATGTTGCGAGACGTGGTAATTTCTGCAAAGAACTTGACAACTTTACATACCTTCGAGTCATAGCTGTTCTCGAGCGTTTCCTGTGTGAATAACAATTAAGTTAATTTAGTCGCTTAGTAAAAAGACCTACTTAATTACATCACATACTATGAGGCTTGAATCGTAACCCGTTATTACATAACTGATTTGAAAATAGCGGCTTACCCATCAATGCAGATATATCACGAATCGGTATAAAACAATAAAAGGCCTGAATGATTTAATCCAAATATTACCATACCGAATCACAGCACATATACTACGTGGAAAGAAGAAAAGATTAAACGAGAATTGCAATTATTTATCTAGCTACAGATTTTGGGTTGTTTGGCAGACATGCATGATTGTCATATATGTCAGTGGTAACTCTGAAAAATTTGAAATATATATTCAACAATTATTTTAATTTTTTGACTTTTGTATAAGCTTTGGCGCCAGTATAACTCGTTTAACAAGCAATAAAACGCTGGCTAAGTAAAATAACGACACCTGGCCTGAAAATCTTTTCGTTTGATCACACGGTTATACACCGGCTCCGAGGGTGGGAAATATTAGTCCAAGTTATCTAACCTCCTACGGTGATACTGTTTTCACAAGGGGTGGCCATGCTGCAAACAGGTCAGGTGCTTTTTGCAGTAATGAGAGCCTTGAATATGAGTAAGTTTAATAGAGCCAGATTTTTCAACCCGATCTACAGATTGTTTAGAAAAGACTAATAGAAGACAATTTAAGTTTACAGATAAGATGAATAGGGTAATATTCCTTCGGCACAATAACTGGCGTCAGACAAAACACCAACGTTGAGAGGCAATAGTTCACAGAGAACAGTCGAGAAAAGTGCTGTTAAGTAGTGGGTTAGCTTCCCCGCTGATCAGGAGAAAAGTGGAATGGGTGGCTGAAAGGGTTCGTGGGCCCTCTCTGAATTCATGTCTTCTCTTTGTGAATGCATTCATTTTTTTAGAGAAAAAAATGATCCAAGATGTAAAACGTAGTTTCAAAGCATATTTACGGCCCATCGTTATTCTTAATGAGCTGGCGTCGCCTTTAGGACCGAGGCACCTATGAACCCTTAGTGCCCAAAAAGAACTAAATATCGAAACTGGCAGAAAAGAAGGACCCTCTACTCTCTTGCTTTTGGCAATTATTTCTTGCGTTTGCCCAAGTAAACGGGATTTTACGTTAAGTCTTTCATGGTTCCTTATTTTGAACAAATACAGCAAACGAGCTGTCCTTTTGCTTGGCAACATTAAGTCTTACCTGCCAGGTTTCCAACTAGAAGGAATATAGAGAGCCTAAAAAAGTCGCTTTGCTTCGTCTTAACGCCTTATCTTCGCCGGCAACTTCATCCTTTAGTCTATCTGTGTTATATTAATTTACTCTGCCCGGACTTTCCAAATTAAGCAAGGGGTACTAGATCAACACAAAAACCATTATTGATAGTTCTCTTTATTCGCGCCGTCCTCGTCGTTTTCCTTGAAAATACAGTTGTAATGAAATGGTGGTAAACTGTTTTGTGAACTAAAAAGTTGAAGAAAGATTGGAGATCTCTCCCCAACCAAAACATATACAGCCCTTTGCTCCTTCGTGATTGTACGTGGACTTTGAAATAAATTAAACTTAACGCAGCTGAACAGCTGTCCGAGCTAAATAAAGCTGACCGGCAAAAGAGCAAAATTGCTTTAGAATATTACCAACCTTCGGCTTATTGACTAGAGTGATTAATTATGGTATGCAAAGGAGAAAATATGACACTGAAAAATTACGCGGCTGAAATAAGTAAAAAAAAAAAAAAAAAAAAAAA